ACATTCGTCGTTATATTAGAGCAGATTACCGGGCTGACGCAGGCGAGCGAGGCCCCCGCGGCGCAGTCACGCCCCTGGGGAGCGCTGCGGGAGGCCGTGTCGCCACCGCCATCACCTGGCGGGCGCCTCCTATCCCCTCCCTCTGAGGAGGTGGGGTTTCCCCGTCGTTGTGCTGAGGGAAATAAGTGAGTGCTTGACGAAACGACCTCGAGGGTGTCTCGCCTACTCGGGATGCTCTTGAGTGTGCAGAAGAATAAACGTAACATCACTTTAAGGGCGCATTTGACTTGAGCTCGAGTTTATTGTGTGTGTGTAACCCCGCCCGTTCATGTTACTGATCTCATAATCATAGCCCTACCCTGTCACCACAATCACCTTCAATACAAAGATGAGGTCAAGAGGGACAGTGGCGGGAATGCGCGGCGCGAAAGGAAAAGAAAGAGGCGGCGCAGCGGAGAAGGACGCGCTGCAAAATCAGGATCTTGCAAGAGGATGGAACGCAGAGGAGGCGTGCTTGATCAGCCACTTAAGAGAACTCGCTGTGGGCTCCTGCGAATAAAACGAGGAGGTCGAAGGATTCAATGGACGCTTCATCATTTATGGAAGCCAATGTGTTTGTTGTTCTCGCGGTGGCAGTCAGACCTGTTGGTGATGCGCATTTCAGCTGTACGTTGCAGCACCCTGTGTCCATGGTCCTTTGGGCTATTTTAGGAGGAAAGGATCTACGGGGGAGCGAGGGAGGACCTATGACTCAGCGGAAAACAAGGTAGATTTTAAACGCACACGCACACACACACACAGATATAAATACATTCATGCATGCATGCATACGTACATACATACATAACATATATACATAAATACATTACATACATACATACATACATATACATATATAAAAAATATATATATAATATACACTATGTGTGTGTGTGTGTTGTTGTGTTGTGTGTGCGTGTGTCTGTGTGTGTGTGTGTGTGTTTGGTTGTATCTATCTATCTATCTATCTATCTATCTATCTATCTTATCTATATATATGCTCATAATATATAATAATATATATATTATTATATATATATATAATATATATATATATATGCACACACACACACACACACAACACACACACACACACACACCACACACACACACACACACACACACACACACACACACACACACACACACCATATATATATATATATTATACTATATAATATATTACAAATATACTATATAATATATATATAATATAATATCATACAAATATATATATATATATATACTATATATATATATATATATATACTATATATACATATATATATATATATACATTATAATATATCTATATATTATATATATACTAATATACTATATATTAAATATAATATATTATTATATATAACCACACACACACACACACACACACACAACACACCACACACACACACACAACACACACACACACACATCACACACTATATATAATATTATTTATATATATACTAATAATTACATATATATATCTATATATCCTATATCTCATCATCTACTATCTATCTATCTATCTAATCTATCTATCCTATATATTTATATATACAACTTTATATACTATATACATACAACATACATACATACAACAATACATACACTACATAATTAATTATCTATATAATAACATATACTATATAACTATATATATTATATATATATATATATATATACTTATATATATTATAATATGTATATATAATATAAATATAAATATATACACTACATAATATATAATATATATATAAGTATATTATATTAATATTAATATATATATATATATAATGTGTGCTTGTGTGTGTGTGTGTTGGTTGGTTGTTGACTCGTGTGGTCGTGTGTGACATTGCGTCAGGGTTGGTGTGTGTGTTTACTGGTGTGTGTGTGTGGTGGCAACTGTGTTGGTGTGGTGTGTGTGTGGGGTCTGATGTGTGTGCTGTGTGTTTGCTGTGTGCCGTGACAGTCTTGTCCTTTAGTTGTGGGTTGTCGTTGGGTGTTGGTTAGGCTATCGTTGTGTGCGTCAGTGACGTGGCGAGTGTCGCTGTGCTGGGTGGGGTGGTGTTGGTTGCGTCGTACTCATGTTTGTGTTAGTGGTTAGCGTGGGTGCTGGTGCTAGTGTGTGTGTGTGTCATTTTGGTGTGTGTTTGATGTCTACTATCTTCTATGATACCTCTCCTGTGCCATAACTCTACACTCTCTCATATACTCTGTCATGAGTGCTGTGCGGTGTGTGTTGTGTGCTGCTAGTTATCTTTGTGTTGTTATCGTGGTGGAGTTGGGGCTGGTGGTTGTGTCTGTGGTGGTGGGCTCTGTCCGTCGGTTCTACATTCACACTCACTCTCATGTCCGCACGTCCGTGTCGTCAATCCTATATCGATTTGTGTTGGTGTCTGCATCTCGCATCGTCCTCCTCCTCTCTCACTTCCGTGCACACCTTCCGGGTGCTACA